TGGGCTAATATTGGACTTATGGGTTGAGACTGGACTGGGCTGGGGTGCTTCCTCAATGTTCAATTCCTCTTGTATATAACCCTCTTTCTTATATACATCTGAGTGTCCATGGATATGTTTCTCAAGACTAACACATCCCTTAAATAAGTTGTTGATTTGTTTTTTTAAAATCATTTTATTGGGGGCTCGCACAACTCTTATCACAATCCATCCATCCATTGTGTCAAGCACATTTGTACATATGTTGCCATCATCATTCTCAAAACATGTGCTTTCTACTTGAGCGCTTGGTATCAGCTCCTCATTTTTTTGATTTGTTGTTGTTGTTTTAATTCTAAGATACAGTCCCATCCAGGTTCACACATTTATTTGGCTGTTGTGTCGTTTTCATTCCTTTTAGGTATACTGTTGTTGTTAGTTGCCATCGAGCTGGTTCTGATTCATGGCAAACCTGTGTGGGCAGAGCCGAACAGCTCCAGAGTTTTCAAGGCTCTGATCTTTTGGAAGCTGATAAGGATGCCTGTCTTCTGAGATGCCTCTGGGTTGGCTCCAACACATCGCCAACCTTTTCGCTCGTCGTCGGGCACTGGCAGCAATGTGGGTTAAGTGTTGGGCTGCTAACTACAAGGTCAGCAGTGTGAAAACAGTAGCCCCTCTTCAAGAGAACTATGAGCCTTTCTACTCCTGTAAAGTGTTAAGCGTCTCAGAAACCACAGGGGCAGTTCTACCCCATCCGATAAGGTTGCTACGAGTCAGAATCGACTTGGTGGAAGTGAATTTTGTTTTGCGTTTGAGAACAATTAACCATTCGAGTCACCCAGGGATGTCTTCTTTTTTGGCTAAGAAAATTTTCTTTTGCTCCATCGCTCAGGGAGGTCACACATGCACAGATACAGACACAAGGGCACACACAGCTAAAAATACTCAAGGCGTAGGCCGGAACACAGAGAGGCATTAGCCCAGAACTAAGCTGCAGGTTCCTCCTCTCATAGCCGTCTCTTGCTCCGCAGGCCCAGACTCAGGCTGAGAAAAGTTTACTGAAGGCAGTGCCTGGGGCCTTATTCCGTCCTACTGCCTGCCCCCGGTCATCGCCAAGACTGCTCAGCATCCATCTCAAAGACTTCCTGAGCTGCCAAGGCACAAGGCTGTGCTGGTCACTGACTGCATCAGCAGGTCCATGATCTCATATGAAGTGTCATTGGTTTTTCTGGAGGACCCGTGGAGGACCCGACTAGTGTGGGCATCACAGGTGAGCTGCGTAGAACCATTCCTCTGCTACCATGACTACAGAGCATCCTCAGGGCTGCTGGCCAGTAGACCCTTCATGTTGGCATTACCTCGGTCTGACCCACAGCCACAGGGACAGCTGAGGTGCTGGGTGTCCCCCCAGCCACCCCTGAGACCATCACTGAGTTATGTTGCACTCACAGTTTGTGGGCAGCTTGTGCTGCTGCTACAGCACCCACGCTTGCAGGCCCCTTCCTGGAGGGCAAACATGTGGGCAGTTGTGGCCCAAGGGTGTGACTCACACCTCCTGGGCCTCCTGAGCCATGGTAGCGCATAAGACATGGGATCTCTTGTAGACCTGCTGGTGTACAGCAGCATGCTGAGTACTCTGAGCCAAGGAGTTGTTGGGACGGGCTTGCAGAGCCGGGACAAGCTCATGCTTGGCAAGGCATTCCAGGCTCCCCTCGGCTGCCCTGCATTGACACTCTTGCGGGCCCAGGTTCTCAGCCACCCTGACACAGCAGATCAGGGCGGGGATTTTTGAGTAGAGGTCGAAGGAGGTGGCCAGGTCTGCCACACCAGGGAGCTGAGAAGGTACAGCAGGGACTGTCAGGACTCTGTCCTTCACCTCTGACACCTCTCAGAAGCTCTTCTCAACACAGCTGCTCTGAAAGCCTCCACAGCCAGCAGGGTGGCCAACAAGCAGCAGAGGGTGCCCTTTGGCACCACTTTCAGGCCAAACAGAGCCTCTTTACTTTCCTGGTCTCTGTTCTCACGGCCCAGCTTGTTGGCCCATTGTTGTAGGTGGGTCCCCAGGCCCCCATGAAGACGAGGGTAGGTAGGAAATTCTCAGCCGGGCCCAGGGGCAGGTCAGGCTGGGTCAATTGGGTTCCCTCCATCTTCTGTCACTCATCCACAGAAGGTACGAGGGTCCGTGGCTTCTTCATTTCGTCCTGGCTGACAGCAAACTCATCCAAGTTGAGCAGGCCAGCTTTGGTGACATGTATAGGTGGCAATGTCATTAGTTTGATGTTGGTGACCTTGATACTCTTCGGGCCCAGCACTGTGGTCATGGTCTGAGGGTCCTCACTGGCTGGAGAGCAGCATGCCCTTGGCATGGGACTGGCACAGGTGTTCCAGCCTCACTGTGCCCACCAAGGAAGGCTCCAATGAAGCCCATGGAGTTGGGCAGCTTCCTCTTGGTAGACAGAGCTGGGCCATCAGGTGTAAGAGGGGAGCAGGGGCAGCCGGGTTGGTGGTGGTAAGAGATGGTTGATGGGGAGATGGGGCTGGAGGAAGTGGTGATCAAGAGAGAGGTGGTGGCAGGGGCTTGATCCCTCCCTGACCTCCACAGACTCATGTTCAGCATGTTCTGGTCTTCAACCCTCCACAGGTCTGAAAAGCCCAGGTCCGCAATGCTGACCTTGGGTATCCTGGGACGGAGCTCTGAGATGGATGAAATCTCAAGGCTGGAGGAGCTCATGACTTTGGCTCAAAGCTCGGGGTAGCAGTGGGGTGGGGGAAGAGAAGGGCTGATGGGCAGGGGGCTGGGGAACCAGGGCTTGGAGGCATTGTGCCTATAGGGGCTGACTCTGGGGAGGTATTGCGTGTCCGTTGACCTCATAGGGCATGGTCTCAGTCCAAGGCTGCCACACCCTGGGCCAGCACAGCCTACATCTCCATTCCTGTCGCTGCCACGCTCCCCAGGAATCGAGTTCCACTCCCAGGAGCTATGGAGATGCTGGAGAAGAGACTCAGGAGCAGGGAAGGGACTTCTCTTTTATACCCACGTCCCCCTTTATTGAGACTATTTGTCTTACAACATAGACTACAGAACATCTGGCACCCTGGTGGAGTATTGGGTTACGCATTGGACTGTTACCTGCAAGATCAGCAGTTCTAAATCACCTAGGCGCTCTGTGGGAGAAAGATGAGGCTATTTACTCCTGTAAAGATTCATAGCCTGGGAAAGCCACAGAGGCAATTCCACCCTGTCTTATAGGATCACATAAGCCAGAATTAACTCGCAGTTCTCTTTCTCATTAATAATTTTTATAGATCGTCTACATTAATTTGTCTTATTTTTCATTATCATATATAGATTACATTAACATTTTTATTGTAGTAATAATACATATAAAAATCTTTACTATTTTATCATTTTATGTGTACCTTGATCATATTATAAAACCATCACTGCTTTCTATTTCCAGAACTTTTCAACAAAGCAAACAAGAACTGAGCAGCCCTCACGCAATAACTCTCTACTTCTCGTCCCCTCCGTCTCTGGCAATCACAAATACATGTAGTCTCCTTGTCTCCATCTATTTTAGATGTTTCAGATGCGTGGGCTTGTGCCACATGCTTTGCCTTTGGTGTGTCTCTTTTCACGTAAGGTTCATTCATGTCTTAGCCTGTATCAGCATGTCCACTTCCTATAAATGTTGGGTGTCCTGTTACATCAATATCAGTTAGGTCAAGGCGATCGATAGGGTCGTTCAGATCTTCTAGGTATTTATATTTTATGCTATTTATTTGTATTTTATGGAGTTATTCTATTAATTACTTAAAAGGCTGCTGTAACATCTCCAATTGTGATTGTTGAATTGGCTTTTCAATTTTTTCAATGTGGTCACAAAGTGGACTGCGAACCTCAAGGTCCGCAGTTTGAAATCACTGGTACCTCCACGGGAGAAAGATGGCGTTTCTACATCTGTAGACTTGCAGTCTTAGAAACCCACTGGAACAGTTTGACCCTGTCCCATAGGGTTGATTCTGAACCTCAGAATAGACTAGGTGGCAGTGAGCGAGTGAGTAAGTGAATGCGTGATGTATTTTGAAGCGCTGTTGTTAGACTTCTACACATTTTTATTTACGGCATGTTTTCTTTTTTTAAGGTTCAAGCCACTCTGATTGCATCTTCTCCTCTGACTCTTTCCAGAGGTGGAGAAGAACCATCATCGATGGTAAATGGTAGTTGAAGCAAAGCAACACAATGACCAGCTTCCCGCTCAGGAGAGAATGTGGCACCGGCTCCTCACCATGGTTTTCCGAGCGCTAGGTGATCCGTGAAACTGCTCTAGTGATGAGAAATAGGAGATAGAGCACCCAAGGGCAGAGTGAGGGAAGACGCCCAGAGGCGGGAAGCATTTTGGGAGCAGCAGGATGTCTGGAGGGATGATTTCAACAGCCTAGGAGAATTGAACTCTTAAGCCTTGGAGCATCAGACCCCTAGGCTGATTCTAAACTCCAAAGTCAGTAAACCTAAGACTTTCTGCTGACCCTTTGCTTGCTGACTCCCATGGCCATGCCTGGGCAAGCCCACGGAGCATGACCAGGTGTATGATTGGACCTGAGAAACAGGACCAGACCCGGGACCGGTCCTTTCATCAAGGGGTCGTATGTGCCCCCCGCCCCCCAGGGTATATGTTTTTGTGTGGGTCCATTAATAGTCGACATTAACATTGACTTTTCTTCCTATGATATATTGACTGGCTTTTCCTGTACACTATAGTGATAATTGGAATCCCTGTTGCATTTGTATTATGCGGTTTTCCATCATTGACCATTAATAGTAGCATTTCTAGTTACACGATTTTCTTTTGCATTTAAGAACGCATGGCATTTTGCTTGATTAATTAGAAGGAAATCTTTTCCAGTGTTCCAGGAGAAGACCATGACGCGAGAGATACCCTCGATTTGTTCCCAGCCACCTTTCACATTTTACATATGTACGTGGAGAGCACAGTATGAAAAGTAAGTCCCGTCGTTATGTGCCAGAATTGGCTGCATGGCGGTGAATTTGGCTTTCTAGTTTCTGTCATGTATATTTTACAAAGCTTCACAGTGGTTTTCCTGTTTACATGTGTACCAATAGGTGGCACTCTTGCACCTTTGGTCGCCTTTGGAAAAGCACAAATACTTTTGACCAGTAAATAGTAAGGAAATGTACATTTATTTTGGTTGATATGGATGATTTTAATTGATTCACACTTGCGATGTTAATTACATCCAAACAGGCATTTTTTTCAATGAATTTGTTTATTCACATCATGGCCATTTATGGAACAGCTTCCCAATGTCTATGTGGATATAGCAGTTAAGAAGATAATTTATTTAGTGTGAATTCAAGAAAATTGAGATGTGTTTTAAAATATATGTATTATATTTTTAAATAGTAATGTCACCGGGAAGTGGTTTTGAGTCATTCCTACCCTCAAAAAAGATTTCAAGGGAGGGACAACATTCAGACGAGAGTCAGATAAAAGGTTTGAACAGAATGAGTGAGTTTATTGAAGGAGATTCTTTGGAAAAAAACTCCAAAGGGCCCTTAGCTAATCTATAGGCCGGATGGAATGTACACCTGGAACTTTTATTCTGCTAACCTCTTGCCATTGGCTAGTTTTCTGGCAGATCTTTTGCTATTGGTTACTTTTATGTAGTGCTCCTCCTCTTTTCAGGTATTACATCCCTGCACCTCGGCGCCCCGGATTTCATGCCCTTATCTCCAGACCCCAAACCCAAGAGTGTATTCAGCCATTGTGGGGGTAGTGTGACTCTCCTTTCTTTCCCCACCTATCCCTTTCTCTGTTACAAGTTGCCTCCATCGATATGTGTCTTGTGGCTGTGATTTCCGCCCTTCATTTGCCTTCGTGCTGGAGAGGTAGGTGCAGAAACAGGTCTCCAACTCTCTGTAGGAATTCCTACCGGATTCCTTCCCTCTTGACCACTTTTCCCTTTGGCGATTTCTGCTTAGCTGACAGTCAGAAAAGCTGTCCAGACTGAGAGACAGAACTTAGATTCTGAGGCTCCCGATGTCCGCCATGGGAACCAAGGACCCTGGATTGCCCCCGCTGTCAATCTCTTGTGTGAACTTCCAAGGTGATTGTTGATGATACTGTGTCTTTAAACCCTGGAAAATATCTTACATCTCATTAAAAATGTTTAATCTGTACTCCCCACCCCCACTCCCCTAGACTTGCTGGAGCTGAGAAGCCAGAACGATTTCACCTTAATAACCTCCATTTGAAATGTCTGTCTCCTTTGACCTCAATGCACAAACAATTTTCTGCTTGTGTACATATTTTGACTAGACTGCTTCCTTAGATGTTTCAGTTTAGACATTAAACAAACTCTTTTGGACTAGATAAAGCTTGCTTTGTTCATTTTGCTTTCTGCAGGATATGATGGTATGTTTAAAGATATATAAGTGTATATACACATATGTATTTATTTGTTTTGTCTTTTCCTTGACCTCTTGGCCTTTTAAAAAAATACAAATTCTTGGCTTGTTTTTGTTTGAGAGAGCATGCTCTAATTTCACTGGAGTTGGATCACCTTAATCAAGAATCCTTTTGAAATCAAATAAATAATAATTTACTCATTATCAGAATATTGTTTTAATTAGACTAGCTTAGTAGAGTGCAGCAGTGGGGGGAAAGCTGTTTGATACGTAGGCAAATGGAACAGGACCACCACTTGCCATGGCTCATGGCCCGAGGGAGAAAACTGAGGGTTCAGCCATGGAAGCTGATGAAGCAGTGGCTGGCCTGTCTCTCTGCCTGAGATAAACAGACACTTGCTTCCTGTTCCCTGACTAAAGCTGCAGAAGGCAGCAGTTTGCAAACTTATCAGTTGTTGAATGTTCCCAACCTTGTCCTTCCTTGTGGTCTGTGAATGACTTGGCTGATGTGTTCATGTTTCTTTGTAAACCTGCGAAATGTCAACCGTCCCTTTGTGTTAAGCCTGTCATGTGTTGCAGGCTGCATACAGGGAATGTATTTAAGCCTGTCCCTAATAAAGACTGGGGCCCTGGAGTGTCTATATTCAGGGAACCCTATGCCCTAACTTTGACAATCCCTTTCCTTATCTGTAAGTTTTTTGGTTGTGGATTGTGCCCTCTCGAACTCGTTCATAATGTAAGATAAGAGCGAGTCTCTACATTACCTGACACTGAAAATTGAGGTGAATCTTGGAGGCTTTATCCTTTTGCAGCTTTTATGTGGCAAGAATTTCTTTCTTTTTTTTTACCGTGTTGTTTTTTAATCGTTTCATTAGGAGCTCATACAACTCTTATCACAATCCATACATACATCAATTGTGGAAAGCACATTTGTACATTCATTGCCCT